CCCCCCCCCCCCCCCCCCCCCGGCCGACGGAAGAAAGTTGTGACGAAGCTCCAAGACGCTCAACGTGAAGTCGTTGGCTGGCAGGGACACGAGTTTCGTTTTGTTTATTTGTATTCCTCCCATCCCCCTTAATTTATTGTCTTCTTCTTCTCGTCTTCCCGCAGTCGCGATGTCTTTTATTGCGCGACTACGCTTGCAATTATGAACTGCATATGTAATGTCTCCCACTTTTCGCTCGCTTGCCAAATCGGGTTCAATTGAAGTCCTAAGTGCCGCAAACGTGCTCGTACCAATATTTTGCTCACGATGTCGCATGCTCAGTGGCGTGCTTTGCGATGTATCGATTGATCTGCAATGGATATGTTGCATGTGTGAGGAATTTGCGATTTGACAATTGTTTCTTATGTAAAAGTTCGCATGAAATACGATGGTGCCACTGGTTTTCTCTGAAATCAACTCCCAAGCTCAAAAAAAGCTCTCAAGTTGAGGCCAAAATGGAGGGGATATCCCACGCTATCCTGGGAGTCCACCTCTACATCAAGAAGAAATATCCATGCAAAGATAGGGAGCAAATACGGGGTTGCCGTGTTTTCAGTTTTGGAGTCCCGAAATAAAGTGGCAGCCCTGTCAATGTATTTGCTGCCTATCTATGCATAGAGAGTTTGTTTTAATGTAGAGGTGGACTCTCAGGATAGCGTGAGATATTCCCTCCATTTTGGCCTCAACTTGAGAGCTTTTTTTGAGCTTGGAAGTTGATGTCAGAGAAAACCAGTGAGGCCATCGTGTTTCTCGCAAACTTTTACAGAAGAATGAACAGTCAAATCGCAAATTCCTCACACAAGCAACATCTCCATTGAATCAAAACTGTCTGAAAGTTTTGAGAAAAAATATACATTAATTTTCTCAAGAATGCACATTTTAATGGGGAAATTTGTCATCCTCTAAATTTTCTGACGGCGTTCTTCTTTAGTAAGATAGTTTACCGCTCTTACCGCGGACGAGATAGGCCCCGTAGTGAAATGCATTCCGGATGCGACTCCAAAATTTTTAA